CTTCATGGTCACTATGACCAAGACATCTGCCAATTGCCACATCTCCCACAAGACCCTCTCTGTTCTCCAGCAACAGATCTAGGAGGGCACCTTTCCTAGTTGGCTCCCTTAGCACCTGCACAAAGACGTTGGTCTTCATACACTACTGCTAAATACCTTATCGAAATCCTGTATCTGTCTCTCATGAGCCAAAATTCTTTTATTTTTTTTTCTCATGTTCTCCACCTTGGAAGTAAGAAAATTGTTATTATCTCCATTCTACAGATGTGAAAATTTGATCTTCAATCCTCCAGAGATTTGAGGAGGAAACAATGTAACAGCCAGGTATTTGAAGGCTTTCAAATTGCCAGAGAAATTAGGAAACAGACAGTGTTTCATTTTTGCATTTGGAGAGAAGCACAAGGCAGTGTCCTTGTCTCTAAAATACAAAGTGAGCTTGGAGATGCTCAGGTCTGATGATTAAAGTGGCTGGTGGAGCAACACCCCCATACATCAGGACTGTAAACAAAGGCAGAAAGGTTACTTCTGAAACTTCCCTAAACAGAAATTAAAGAGTCCAATCTTGCTCAAACGTTTTTGAAAAACCTCATACTGCACAATAAATGAGTTTGAGCTGTTTAGAGAGAGAAAGCAAATTGAGAAGGTGTGATAAGGTCTTTGAATAGCATAAACATAAGTGTAATGCACCAAAAAATGCCATATTAGTTTACCAAAACTTTGCCACAATCCATGTTTATTCACAAAATGTCCAGAGAATCACTGAATGTAAATACAAAAGACACATTTGGTAATGTATTACTTAAAATGGTGAAAGCAGCAGGTAGTATAGGAACTCTAATGGTGGGTTACGAGATGAGGAGTGCCTCCCACCAAGAAGATGAAAGCCAGAGTGGGAGGTCAGTATCATTTGATGTGAAGCATACGAGCATCTTCTTGCAAGGAGAAGACTTCAAGACATTTTTCAGACAGCTTAAGTATTTTTAAAGAAAACCTCAACCACAGCATTGCCTGAGATCAAGCTTTTGTTCTTCAGTATGGAATGGATAATATAATTTAATGAAGTTCTAAATTATTAGAAATAATATTTTAAAAGACCATAATATTGCATGGGAATAAAACGGGGAAGCAAACCTCCTAGCATATCAATATATCTCCACTGGCATTACAAACAGACTTATTATCTTGCTCAGAAATGTATAATGCTTGTATAGTTAATGACAACCATTGCTTCCTCTCACAGTGTGTAGCAACATTCCACCATTTTGCCCAGGTCTGATACTGTATTAAGGATACAACAATTTCACAAGATATGACATTTTCATCCTATAAATATCAGTGCATTTGTAATTGCCCAAGATGTTTTGGTCCAAGATCTCTGCAAAACAAAAACAGAAGAAAAACAAAACCATACCTTAACATTCTTTGCTCTCACATCTCCTCAGCCAGTTCTTTTCACCCTCTTTGTCAATTCACAAGTCTTCATCCATTATAACACTGCTGCAAATATTCTCTTTCCATGCTAGTATAGATACATTCCACCTTAGTTCCCCCTTCTGTACTGCAGTTTCTACAAGGCAATAAAGCACACTACTTCTTTTGTCTTTTAAGAGCCCTCATAACTGTCCTGTGTGCTTCTTAACTTGTCACAAGACATAGGATAACTATGTCTTCTTTCCTTTTCCATCGTCCCTGTCATTAGTATCTATTGGTATCTTCTGAACTTCCTTCCATATTTCTTTTTGAAGAGGAGAAAAGATTCCGGTGAGCACTAGAGTGAAAAAAAATCACAGTATCTTCCTTGGCAGCAGATTATTTTGGATTATAATGTACTGGTTTGGTTCTTTTTTGAAATTCTTAAAAATGACCAGGAGTTGGCTCCTGTGATTGTAGCTTGTTTTGTTAATAATTGTCCTTGATGACCCAGTTGTATTTTGTTAAGTATTTAGGTTGTATGTTCAAGTGTAGCATGTATGTATAGGACTTAGAAATTACGATTATAAGTTATGGTCTCTAAATTTTGCCATATTGGCCTTAGCCTGACAAGGACTTGTCCTGTCACTCAGACCTCTCTGTGATATTACATTAAAATAAAATGATTGAGATCTGAGATTCATATCATATGTTCTCCAGGATCTTACCACGTTGCCCTAGGTTAGCAGATGAGCCCAGCCCTTCCCTGTTGCAGTGACCGGGAGCAACAGGACAATATAGGTGATGTAAGAATCAAGTATTTTAGCTAGCAATATTGTTCATGCACAGTCCTACTGGATAGCACAAGGCAGATGTGTAACCATTTTACCATTCCTAGAGCTGCTTTGCAGATGCAAGCTGACACAGAGACTGTGCTGCAACTGATAACCTGCAGCATGCATCCAAGTGATTAAAATGGCAGGACAAATAAGGGAAAATGCTTCACTGTAGATCAGAAGCACATACTTTGTGTTGCTGAGTCAATCTATGGAGAGGCCCCAACATCTTTGGACCACCTAGAACTGCTGCCAGAGCCTTGACTCATGTGGATATAGTGTACCCTTCTGTGGGAGATAACACCTTCCATTTACCTCTTTTCTCGGTGATGCTGATGCCCTGCACCTTATGCTCCGTATATCCTGGCTGCGCTTCTCCCTTTAGAGCACTCAGTTACTCATCTGGGGCTCTCTGACGTCAGCTCTGAGGTCAGACAGGCAGGGCCACGCCTGTCCCTTGCCTGCTCCCAAACAAAAGACTATAGATAGCTGCTGCAGCAAATGCTTTTCATTATGTGCTCCCCTCTCCTCAGACCGCCCGCCTGGCTGGGGGTGGGAGCAGCATGGGGCCCCGAGATGCTTGTGCTGCTCTGCGATGTGTTTTATGTTAAAGGGGGTGGGTTGTGCATTCCTCACAGGCTTTGAATGTCATGCAGAGCCCCAGGGGAATCCTCAAAGGAGTGGAAGGAGAGAGCAGGCGGGAAGGTTGCCATGCACATCAGGATGAGGCATCCCTCCCCCATGTCAGCCTGCAAAGATGTCCAAACCAGAGGGAATCACAGAATTGAAGGGGTTGGAAGGGACCTCCAGAGATGTGGTAGTGCTACGGCAGCACACCCGCTGCACATAGCATCCATCCCCTCTCAGAAATGCATTTAAAAGCCTTCTACTTCCCACCAACAGAACTTGCTTAGCTAAGCTTAATCTGGCAAAACACAGACCAAGTGGTGATAAATTAGTCTGCTTGTACACTTGGAGTCAGTGCCAGAAAGGTAAAGGAACCATTTCATATTAAGACTAACTGTGAATCTAGATGGATATAAGATGGCTATTAATACATGCAACAAGAAGTTTGGATGAGTTTTCTAACTATTACAGCGATCAGGCTCTAAATCATCTTTGCAAAGTAAGAAAGAGATAGAAGCAAAAATCCCAGTTGCTTTTAAACTAGAGCCTGATAAAATTACGAGTGATTACAGGATTTTATACCTGTGGAAGATAGGGTTTGGACACAAAGGCACAAGAATGGCTGCACACCATCTTTTCCTTCACCATGGAAATCCAATAAACAGCCTCCCCTCATGGAGTACGCATGTGGTACCTTGTCCTGAGGACAGAAAACTAACCTTCCAGTCCCCCTCAAAGCTATTTGGATCTGTCTTCTCGTGTTAAACCCAAGATGTCTACTTCATGTTTCAGTGTCTTCTCACAGAGCTTGCACAGAAGATTATGGATATAGAAACGTAGGACTTGAAAGGACTTCCTGGGACAGCTGGATGCAGTAAATTGAGTAACCATTCCCCAACTTGCTGCCAAGCATTTTTTTCCATCATCATTCTCAGGATGCTTGTAGAATTAGAAATACTGCAGGACCTGAAGTGCCAGCAGGATGGGCTAACATTCCCTCTGAGTGGTAACTGCAACTAAATCAAAATATCATCTCCAGATTCTAGAAACATGACAAGCCCAACAAAATGATGAACAGCTACCAAAAAGGGAACTTGGAGGGAAGGGAAGCCTTGATCTCTGCAGAAACTGTGCATACTTCTGGAATACAAGTATGGGAGCTACAGGCTACTTCAAATATGCTAGGCATCACCTAAGAGGTAACACTAATAAAATAAACCTCAGAGAGGTTTATTTTAAACCTCAAATTTACACGTGGTTGTTGATAAAATGCTAACAGTGGGTTGAGGATTGAGCTGGGACATGGGTCCCAGTCAGAAATATATGCATACTGATCATTCTCTGTAAAAGTGACATTTTCAGATTCTAACTTATTTAATGCACAATATAGTCATTTGTGGAGTGAAATATATAGAGAGATATATTGCACAGGATGCAAGCACAGTACTCAAGACACTTAACAGCTCAGGCTTCCGTGGCTCTTCTAGAACTCCTAGTGCAAGCCCTGAAGAGAAATAACATGGAACATTCTTCTCCTCTACCACAGACACCCCCCTGCCCCTGCCCGTCTGTCGTGAAGACTGCCAGATTGTGAGCCCCAAGAAGCTATGTTCCAAAATACGTGCAGTCGCCGGTGTCACTTCCAACTCAAGCGCCGCACGGAGTTCCGCACCGCTCCAGCGAGCTCTGCGCCCCCGCCGGGGAGCTCAGCAGCAGGGCCACGACGAGCCCGGCGACCCCCGGGCACCTCTGCGTCCTGCTCCGGAGCGCTCCACGCCCCGTCACGGAGATCGACAGCCTCGGAGCCCTCCGCACCGCCAGGGCGATCGGCACCCTCCGGGCAGCCCGGCGCCCTGCCCGGGGAGCCCCGCTCCCAGCTTCTGACGCGGCTCCCCCCGCCCCTCCGCTTACCGCGCGGAGGCTGCCCGTTGCCATGGCGACGTGCCTCTGGCCCTCCCTCGCCACCGGGCCCAGGTACGAGACCGCGCTCGCGATCCGCCGAGCGCCGTGGCGGCAGCGCGAGGCAGCGCGGCGGGGCGGACCGCGGTCCCTCGGTCCCGCGGGGGGGGGGCCGCTGCAGGCCGGTCACCCGGGGGTGGGACCGCGGGGCGGACCGGGACGCCAGGGGGCGCGCTCCACGCTCAGCGTCCCGCCCCTGACGCGCCGCGCGGTGCGACGCGGCCTGCGCCCGGCGATCGGGTTGCCCGGCGCTGCCGGCCGGTGCGGGCGGGATGGGCCGCGGGCGCCCGGGCGGCCCGCGCGACGCCGCCGTGAGTGTGCGCCGGCCGGGGCGATGCCTCCCGGGACGTCTCCGCGCAGGCGGGGCCTCGGCCCGGCCGGCGGTGCCTGGGCGGGCTTCGGGGAGGGGGGCGGCAGACCGGGCGGCGAGAGGCTGGGGCTCGGCGGCGTCCGGTGAGAGCCGCCCAGCCCTCGGAGCCCCTGGGCGCTGCTTGGCCGTGCGCGGCCCCGCCGCCCCGTCCCGGTGGGCCCGGGTGCCTCTTGGCCTTGGCGGGGAAGCGCCCGAGTCCGTCGGAAGCGCCAGCGCGGTGTCCGTGTCCCGGCAGGTGCAGGGCACCGGCGGCAGCAGCGCCATCAGCAAGTGCTCGGCGGCGGAGCGGGGCTACTTCGAGGACCGGTTCCTGCGGCTCCTGGCGGGGCGGCGGCGGCGGCGCGCGCCGCTTGTCCACCGGTGAGGAGCGGGCGGTGCGCGGGGCCCGGCGTCACGATTCCAGTGAGGGATTTGATGGCTTGGAGGAGCAACAGGGCGTATAAAGGAGTTAATTTCATATTGTTATGCTGTCTGATTTGGGAGAAGGAGCTCATATGTTGGCCACCCACACTGTAGGGAAGTATCTGAACCATCTGGATTCATACTTTTCACCCATTGAATATTCACGCATGCAAAATGGAACAGGTCCAGTTAGGATATCTACACATTTTCTCTAGGTTATTCACAGTCTTGATGGTTAAGACACTGAATACAGGAATTCTGTATGTATTATCAAAGTCTGGATATGACAAAATCGTCAGACATGGAGAAGCTGAGAGAGAAGGTAAGTTTTTTGAAACAGGGTGCCAGTGTTGGAGAAATAATTGAATTTCATTTCACAGGGGTTATTATATCCGTGCCCGTGCTGTAGATCACTGTGTTCAAGACTTTCTGCTAAAGACCCAAAGTTATCCTAGGACACAGGTACAGTTTCTTTGTCTGGGTATACTTGTAGTTTCCACTGTACTTGTGAAAAATCTTTTTTGCATCTTGGCACTTTTAGCTTGTTAGTGCATCTATTGTGATCTTTCCCTGGAAGAGCACAGAGAATCTGACTGTCGCTACTGGCTCTCCATTTGTCACTCTGACAGCAATATCTGGGAGGGAACAGTGTCTATACAATATTCTACCTCTTTTGGTAGATTGCCTGTTTTTGTCACTCGACAGATTGTGTTCTTGAACTTGAATATTCTTCATGGTTAGATGCTCAGGGTGCTGCTAGAGTTGAATATAACTATTTTCTGATACTTTATCTGCAGATCCTGTCTTTAGGTGCTGGCTTGGACTCCTTGTACTTCCGTTTGAAAGACATGGGTCTTCTGCATCACACTGTGATGTATGAGGTGGATTTCCCAAATGTGGCACGCCAAAAAGCTACACTGATCAAAACAACAAAAGAGTTGTCAGCACTTGTGGGAGATACTGAAGGGGAGCGATTAGGTATGATACTTCTGGAACATGTTGTGGATGCTAAATGTTCCAGAAGAAACAAACAAAGCTTCAGCCTTTTAAATGTTAGTCATGATGGCAGAGGAACTAGGAAGTTGTATATGTTCATTTTCTGGGTAAAAAAAAAAAAAAAGGGGAACAAAGAAACCATTTGTAAGCATTGGGAGATAACTAGAAGATGTGTAGCTGACAATGAGTTTGTGAAGAGCTCTATCTCATTCTGTGACATCTTTTGAAGTACTATGTCCAACTTTGAGCTTACCAATACAAAAACAATGGCAAACTGCTGCATATTCTGTGATAGGTCAGGAGAATGATTAAGGACTGAAGTATGTTCTGGAAAATGGGGAATGAAATACAACAGAGACATATGCAAGCCACTACATTTAGACTGTAATTTAAATACAGATGGAGAACAGCTATCAAGTTAAGTAAAAAAAGAGAAAAAGGAGGGTTTATAATCTTTGGAAAAGAGGGCAGTCCACAGGAGGACTATAACGATGTTGTGAGGCTGTGCAGGGACAAAATTAGAAAGGCTAAAGCTCATCTGGAGCTCAATCTGTCTACTGCCGTTAAAGACAACAAAAAATGTTTTTACAAATACATCAATGCAAAACGGAAGACTAAGGAGAATCTCCATCCTTTACTGGATGCGGGGGGAAAATTAGTTACAAGAGATGAGGAAAAGGCTGAGGTGCTTAATACCTTCTTTGCCTCAGTCTTCAGCGGCAAAACCAGTTGTTCTCTGGATACCCAGTACCCTGAACTGGTGGAAGGGGATGGGGAGCAGAATTTGGCCCTCACTATGAAGTTCAACAAGGCCAAGTGCCAGGTCATGCACCTGGGGCGCAACAACCCCAAGCAGCACTACAGGCTGGGAGATGAGTGGTTGGAGACCTGGGGGTATTGGTTGATAGTCAGCTGAATATGAGCCAGCAGTGTGCTCAGGTGGCCAAGAAAGCAAACAGCATCCTGGCTTGTATAAGAAGCATCGCGGCCAGCAGGTCTAGGGAAGTGATTGTCCCCCTGTACTCGGCTCTGGTGAGGCCGCACCTCGAGTACTGTGTTCAGTTTTGGGCCCATCGCTACAAGAAGGACATGGAGGTGCTCGAGCGAGTCCAGAGAAGGGCGATGAAGCTGGTGAGAGGCCTGGAGAACAAGTCTTACGAGGAGCGGCTGAGGGAGCTGGGCTTGTTCAGCCTGGAGAAGAGGAGGCTCAGGGGTGACCTTATCGCTCTCTACAGATACCTTAAAGGAGGCTGTAGCGAGGTGGGGGTTGGCCTGTTCTCCCATGTGCCTGGTGACAGGACGAGGGGGAATGGGCTAACGTTGCAGCAGGGGAGTTTTAGGTTGGATATTAGGAAGAACTTCTTTACCGAAAGGGTTGTTAGGCATTGGAACGGGCTGCCCAGGGAAGTGGTGGAGTCACCATCCCTGGAGGTCTTTAAAAGATGTTTAGATGTAGAGCTCAGTGATATGGTTTAGTGGAGGACTTGTTAGTGTTAGGTGAGAGGCTGGACTCTATGATCTTGAGGTCTCTTCCAACCTCGAAATTCTGTGATTCTGTGAAGTAGAACACAAGTTCCTGTCTCCCATGAGCAGTTGAACATGTCTTAGTGAGTAGCTCTTCCATAAGCTGGTCCAGTTTCTTCTTGAATCCATCCTCGTTTTTAATATCTACAACATCCTATGGAAAAGAATTCTGTCCATACCAGTAACTTTCCAAACTGAAGTAAAAGACAGTTGTCAAAACATATGGCAATACCCTGTTTTCTGTGTCTAGAGGACAAGAAGTGATGGATAGGCAAGTTAGATATTAGAAGAAAGTAACAGGGAACACTGGCATGGGATGCTTATGAAGGCCATTGAACCTCCATTAATGGATGCCTTTGAGAACAGTGTAAATTATCAGCTCTCTGTACAGGTTTAATTGTTGGATTGCACTAGTATAGAGGCATAGAGCAGGCAATTTCTAAAGTCACTTTACAAACTTGTTAGTTTATGATCTGATTTTGGTTGAAAAGGTTCAACCAGCATACAACTTATATTCTTATGAAGTACAGAGGCTTGCCGTGATAATGTACATGTAAGTTGACAGTTATTTCTGAGCACAGGGATCTATAAGATTAGTCTTAGTATTTGCAGACAGTTGGCATGTCATAGTTCAAAATCCCATACCCTTTTACAAAAATGAAGTTTGGTTTTAAGACAGTAATAATAAAAGAACAAAAAAAAATACCAAAACAAAAACACCAAACCCACAACTAAATTTGAGAATATTCTTACAGTTGTGAGGGAAAACATTCAAATTGTAACAAAGCAATGGTACTTTCTTAGCCTGAACTGAAGGGTCCATAAATGAGAGCTCTTGATTCTGAATTATAGTGGTAATATAAAAATGTTATTAAAGTAAACATGATAAAGTTTTATTGTAATAGTAAATATAATTCTATTGGAAACCAGTAGGAGAACTTTGTGTTAGGAATAATGGAATTTTAGTTCTGGGTTTAATGGGTCTCTTACTGATGCTTCTTGTTGCTATCCCTTTGTGGTTCATTCAGTTACGGGTTTTTCTTGTATATGTTGCAGAGAAATCGAGTTGATGGACACAGCCTTATAAATGATTGCTGGTGGAGCTGATTTTCCTGTTTGTCCTTTTTGTTTTCAGTACAGCATGAACACTGTAGTGAGTTTGTATCATTTTTGTCCCACAGGAGTCACTACTGCCTTTTCTGGAGAAGATTATAAATTACTGGAGGTGGATTTATCAGAGTTGTCTAAGCTGAGTACAGCCCTAAAAGAAGCAGGACTGGACAATGAAGTCCCCACCCTTTTCATAGCAGAGGTGGTGCTCACCTATCTGGAAAACAGCAGGTCAGTTGAATTACCCTGTGTTAGCTAGGTGGTAAAGTGAAAAGAAGCAATTTCATTGTAAGTCATCTTGGGCTGGGAGACCTGCCGTCTTATAACTAAAAGCTCATGGATTCTGTGCAAGTCCCAAACAGCTCCTTATATCATATGTATAATGTGGTAGTTGATTTCCAGGTGACATCAGAACAAGAGGCCATGGGCACAAACTGAAACAGGAGGTTCTGTCAGAACATCAGGAAGCACTTCTTTACTGTGCAGGTGATGAAGTACTGGCACAGGTTGTCCAAACAGGCTGTGGAATCTCCTTGGAGATCTGCAAAAGCCATCTGGACATGGTCCTTGATGAGTGGCTGTGGGTGGCCCTGTTGGAGCAGGGATGTGAGCAGATGCATCCAGAGGTACCTGCTGCCTCAGTTGTTCTGTTACTCTGTGAACCTTCTATGTTTTTTAATTTTCTTAAGGAAAAAAGGAAAAAAAAAAAGGGAAAAACCTCAAATGATTGATTTTTGATTTATTTCTTCACGCATGGAGGAGGACATGTTCATAGGTCCCCAGAACAGGCTTCTCTTTTGTAAATTATCTCTGTCAGGATGCCTTAATAGCATGCTTTATGATGTTGCAGGAAGATTATTGCATGTGCCATATAATAACTGGACCCAAAATTATTTAATTATTCTTATGTACATCTGCCTGACAGGTCAGATGCCTTGATTCAGTGGGCAGCAGAGCATTTCTCTCAGGCATGCTTTCTGCTGTATGAGCAGATGCACCCTGAGGACTCCTTTGGACGTGTCATGCAGCAGCATTTTAGCCAGCTGAACTCTGCACTTCATTCTTTGTCACAATACCCTGATTGTGAGGCTCAGCAGAGGCGCTTTTTTGAAAAAGTAAGTACCTGCAGACCTAGGGCACACATGAAACCTGATTTACCTGGGAAAGATCATAGAATATCCTGAGTTGGAAGGGACCCATAAGATCATTGTGTCCAACTCCTGGCACCACACAGGTTTACCCAAAAATTCAGACCATATGACTAAGAGCACAGTCCAAACGCTTCTTAAACGCTGACAGGCTTGGTGCTGTGACTGTGTCCCTGGGAAGCCTGTTCCAGTGTGCGACCACCCTCTCAGTGAAGAACCTCTTCCTCATATCCAGCCTGAATGTCCTCTGTCACAGCTTGACTCCATTCCTTTGGGTCCTATCACTGGTCACTAAAGAGAACAGATCGGCTCCTGCTGCTCCATTCCCCCTCGTGAGGAAGCTGTAGACTGCTATGAGGTCTCCCCTCAGCCTCCTCTTTTCCAGGCTGAACAGACCAAGTGACCTCAGCCACTCCTCATACGTCTTCTGCTCTAAGCTCTTCAACATCTTAGTAGATGTAGCTTTAAATTATAGTAGATTTAACTTTATTTTAAATTAATTTTAAGTTAATTTTACTTTAAATTATAGTAGATTGTAACTTTAAATTATTTTCGAAGTTGTCATCTGGGCCACCTATGGGTTGAAGCAAACAGGGACAAGGCAGAGCCACTGCCCTTTCTGGTAAACATGACTAGTCATTTGAAGGTCTCTGCAAACTTGCAGCCTATGTTCTGGTATGGAATTAAGGCAAGATGGGTTCCTCTGAGGCTTTTAATGTAATTACGTTTTTTAGAGTTTTACAGGCAAGAGGTCTATCCTCATTGCAATCTGGGCTGCTGCTGTTTCAGCTAGACAGTCCTAAAGGCTTGTGAGGCACTTTATTTAAGGTCTTTATTTTCTTGTGGGAAGTGAGTCTCTGTTCTTCCAGAAGTAATGATTTTGAGGGATTTCTGTTTTAGGGCTGGACTGAGTGCAGTGTCATGGATATGAATGAGTTTTTCACCTGTTGTATTCCAGAAAATGAACAACAAAGAGTGCAGTCTCTGGAGCCTTTTGATGAATATGAGGTAATCCTCCTCAAGTAACATTGGAAGAAGACTCTCTTCTATATTAGAAAAGCTTCTTATTCCTTCCTCAGTGAATGATCTCCTGAGGAGGCAGTCTCAGCGTAGCAAAGTAGCTGGTGGCGTAAGGGATGCTATATATGCTAAAAGTTTGCATGGGTTAAAGGAGCAATTCTTTTAATGAAAGAAATCAATAGAGGATCATTTAAATACATAAAAAATATACCTGGTGTAAGGTTCCTGACCTGCAAATGTCTGGGAGCTTTCCTGGGTGGAGTATGTGCTTCTCTTGTATTTTCCTAGTCAACTACCATTTTGTCATTGTTGAGTACAGTTTACTGGCTTCAGATATCTTTTGGTCTGATTTTGTGAAGCCATTCCTATAATAATGATTGAAATTCAGCTACGACTATATTCTGTGCTATTTTTATGTTAACTGATGGCAAATTTGCAACTATTGGAAGTCTAGGAGAGAAGATAGGACAAGGACAATGAGTAACTTTGAGATGAATGTTGTGTAGGATACTTACTAGAAGTTTCCTTTTCAACCTTGTGGTTCTCTATAATTCTTTCTAGAAATTTAATAGCCCACAGTATGAAAACAATTTAATGTACTTGCATTTATTTTGCCTCCACGCAGTATCTGCTGTGCTACATGAAAAAATAATATTGACTGAAAGATTCTGGCAGATTTGCAAAGTGGTGTAGCGATATCTACAGTAATTATTGTAGATCAAGGAAAATACTCATACAGTGAGAAAGTAAAGACTGTTTACCATTTCCTTACAGAGGAGGTTTACAAGTCTACAACGGACATTCTGCATAAGAGTAAGATACATAAAAGCAGAGAGCTCTACAATTAACCTTTCAGATAGAGTAAGATCCAAGTCTTATTGGCAACAAGCTTGATAGAATTAGGTTAGAAGTGTAAAATACATACTTACTGCTGAGGGTGACTTGTTTTTGGAATGATTTTCCTAGAGACAAATAGTGTATTCTTCCACTTTAAGTATTCTATGTTTTTTTTTTGCCTTTTAAATTCATGTTTGTGCCTTCTTGTCACATAATTGGCTGAATTATTCAGTTCCCTCGGAATAAACATATTCAATTACTTGATGTCCACAAAAGCCAGGGTGTAGTTTGGTATTGCTGCTAACTTCCAGTACAGTACTCTGCTTGTGCTTCCACCTTTGAGTGATTCCACAGCGAAACTGTAAACCGTATTTAGGTATTGTTGACCGTCAGTGACCAAGTGGCACCTTTGAACATTTGTCATTTCTTTGGAATCACTTACATTCCATGACCTTTAAGAAATCTTAATTCCACTGGTATACAACCTGCAGTCTTTTTTTATGATCAGAAACGGGTAGCATTAAGGGAAACTGGTTCCAAAAAACTGTGTTCATCATGCAATTTGTAACGAAGCTATGGAATTCCTTGCTTGAAAGAGGTTTATATGAGTTTAAAAAGCAACTGTATAGGTTCTTGGATGAGAAATGCAGGGATTGTTTGATAAAACAGAAAAGCCCTGGGCTGTAAATATTTGGGAGAAGGGAAGGTATTACTGTATACGTACTTGTTCTTTCTCAGATTCAGCTTTAGGCTTTTTATTTTGGCCACTGTTGAAAACACTGTTAAGCCAGGTTGATCTAAGACTTTATCACTCTGGCCATTCTTAGATCCTTACTGCCACTTGCTCTGAGATTTTTGAGAGCCCTTGCTTGTTTTTGTTTCTTTGGCTTTCTACAGGAATGGCATCTGAAATGTTCTCATTACTTTGTCTTGACTGCATCAAAGGGGATGGAACCTTCCTGGACTCCATTGTTATCCAGTATGACAGGTACATACTGACTAGTTTTTATAGTCTTTTATCTCATGTGTCTCCCTGTGAGAAATTTTAGGAGGCAGTAAAATTCTGTAAGGAACGCATGTGATGCTACCACCTGATTAGCTTTCTCCATCCTCATCACAGTGGTTTCACAGTCTTTAGCAAAGCCAGAGCTGTGTCCCAGCAAGTGGTTCTGATCAGTTTCATGTTAATTTCTGTTAATTTATTGAACATTCCAGTCCCAACAGTTCTTCCTTTTGTTTATAGATGGCTGCAACACAAGGCTACCCTGCTTTTCCTCCTATTTTTGGGATCCACCAGACTCTGTCTTTTCAATTAATTCCAACTTGCCTCCATATATAGCTCTCTGGGCCATTCTGTTCTTCCAGGATAGGTTGTTATATGTTATACCTAGTGCACCATCAAAGCAGTCCAGGAGAGCACTCGGGACTGTGTAACACAAGTTTTCTTTTTTTTGTTATCTCCTGTGGGTGGAATTGTGTATGTAGCATTTCTGTTTCTGAAATCTTCTGTATGTTGTTTTTTTTTGTTTTTTAAATGGGCGAAAAGTGATACAGCAGGAGTAAAGCCAAGACCAAGGCTGTGCTTCCATGATAAAAAAGACTTGGCAGCAGTAGCAGTCCAAGAAATTCCTGCATTTGGCTGCTTGCTTCCTTTTTCAGAGTGGAAAGCAGATTATTTTTAACCTGGTTAGCATCACTGGTCTTGTTCACAGTGCAGCACCACAAGCAATTCTGTCTGCATCTGAAGATTGAAATCTGTTACAGGGAGCAGAAAAGGATGGAAAAGAATCATAGAATCATAAAACGTCTTAGATTGGAAGGAACCTTAAAGATTCCAACCCTCCTGCCATGGGCCCGGACACCTCCCATTAGACCAGGTTGTCCAAAGCCCCATCCAAACTGGCCTTAAACGCTTCAGGGATGGGGCATTCACAACTTCTCTGGGCAACCTGTTCCACTGCTTCAACACCCTCAGAGTAAAGAATTTCTCCCGAATATCTAATCTAAATCTACCCTTTTTTAGTTGAAAATTCATGGAATTTCTAGGTTGGAAGAGACCTCAAGATCATCGAGTCCAACCTCTGACCTAACGCTAACAGTCCTCACTAAACCATATCCCTAAGCTCTACATCTAAACGTCTTTTAAAGACTTCCAGGGATGGTGACTCCACCACTTCCCTGGGCAGCCTGTTCCAGTGTCTAACAACCCTTTCGGTAAAGAAGTTCTTCCTAACATGCAACCTAAAATTATTACTACTTTTCCTACAATCCCTGATAATGAGTCCTTCTCTTGCCCCCTCTAGGTACTGTAAGGTACTTTAGGTACTGCAATGAGGTCTTCCCAGAGCCTTTTCTTCTCCAAGCTAAACAGCCAACTCCTTCAGCCTGTCTTCATGGGGAGGTGCTCCAGCCCTGTGATCATCCTCATGGCCCTCCTTTGGACTCATTCTAATAAGTCCATGTCCTTCTTGTGCTGGGCACCCCAGAGCTGAACACAGTACTCCAGGAGGGGTCTCACAAGAGCAGAGTAGAGCATAATCACGTCCCTTGACCTGCTGGCCACACTTTGATGAAGCCCAGGATATGGTTGGCTTTCTAGGCTGCAAACACAAATTGCTGGCTTGTGTTGAGCTTCTCATCAACCAACAACCCCAGGTCCTTCTCTTCAGAGCTGCTTTCAATCCATTCTCCACCCAGCCTGTATTTGTGCTTGGGATTGCCCTAGCCCAGCTGCAAAGACTTTGCACTTGGCCTTGCTGAACTCCATGACATTTGCACAGGTCCACCTCTCAAGCCTGTTGAAGTCTCTGGATGGCATCCCTAAACTCCAGTGTGTTGACCACACACAGCTTGGTGTCATCGGCAAAGTTGCTGAGGGTGCGCTGAATTTCACTGTCCATGTCACTGACAAACACGTTAAATAATGCCAGTTGCAATACTGACCCCTAAGGAACACCTCTTGTTACTGATCTCCACTTGGATATTGAGCCGTTGACTGCAACTCTTTAAGACTGACCATCCAGCCAATTCCTTGCTCACCTAGTGGTCCATCTGCTAAATCCATGTCTCCAATTTAGAGACAAGTTGACTCAGGGTAGTGTAAATCATTACAGCTCAATTGGAAGTACCGACTTGCTTTACAATTTTTTCTTTTTGAAAAGCTGAATAGATGTGCTTAATCTGTCATTTTAAGTGTGGGTGTTGCTTCTTTGTATGAAATTTAACATGCTTTGTTTCTCATTGCCTTCAGTTCCTCATCATCATGGTCCTGTCAGGATAGTTGGGAGTATCAATGCATTGGCGTGTGAAGTGCGCTCTGAAGCTTCTGGCTTGAGACGTTATGGTCACCACTCTGCTCTTATCACACCCAATGTAATTCTGACCACTGGAGGCTTTGGGGAGGAGAATGGACAGCACTGTCGTATGAGAAATTTTCATGTGCTAATTAAGCATGCAGGCTACTGGAAGGCTGGATGTGTGAAAAAGGAAAATCATGATAAAAGATGGGGTGAGTATCACAAGGTGGGTATCGATGGCAAGGATAAGGAGGATGTTTTTGTGCTAGCTATGAAATAGGGTCTAGTGGAAAGTGATGTCAGAGTGCAATTACACTGACAGTCAAAGAGATGCAAAGGTTCTGAATTTCATGGAAGATCAGTGTGAACTGTGATGTCTTATGTCTCTACAGACGAGCGATTGTACCATACTGTGTCATGTCTCTCAAGTAGCCTGGCCCTGGTGGTAGGAGGACGAACATCCCCAAATGCAGCTTTGGGAATGCTGTGGCTAAAGTTTCCCAAAACCTGTAACGACTCGGATCCAAATGACATTACAGTGGAGCTTGTAAGTCTGCAGCCTGCTGCTGAACCATTTGCTTTGCGCTGGAGACACAGTACAACTGAAGTAATATTCAAAGGTAAAAGTGGGAAACAGGGGCTATGGTCATTCCATGATGCTTTTTCTCCACCATTCCTTCGCTGACACTCTCTTCCCCTGCTACAGCATGGTGTTCCTCCCACAGGATGCAGTCTTTCCTGAACTTATCATATGTGAGCTTCCCACAGGCAGCAGCTCTTCAAGAATTGCTCCCATATGGGTCCATACTATGGGGTCCATCCTTTAGGAGCAAACTTTTCCAACAGGGGTCCCCCATAGGTGGCAGCTCCTGCCAGATCACCTGCTCCTGCATGGGCTCCTCTCCACAGGCTACAGCACTAGAACAGATTCTTCTCTGGCAGGGGCTCTCCATGGGCCGCAGCCTCCTTCAAGACATATTAACCTGCTCCACTGTGGCCTCCTCCACAGGCTGCAGCATGGAAATTTGCTCCACCATGGTGCTCCACCATCTGCACCACTCCATGGGCTGTGGAGAGACGGCCTGTACCACCATGGGCATTTCCACAGGCCTTAGGGGAACTTCTGCTCCAGCACCAGGAGCACCTCCTGTTCTCCTGCACTGACCTTGGTGTCTGCATGGCTGTTTCTCACTCTTCTCTCGAGCTCCTTTTGTGCAGGAGTTTTTTTTCCCTTTCTTAAATATGCTCTCACAGAGGCACAAACAACATCACATAGTGTCTCGACTCTGGCCAGCAGCAGATTCCTTTTTGGAGCTGGCCGTAACTGGCTCTTATTTCACATGGGATAGCTTCTGGACTCTTCTCACCCTTGCAGCCCCCTGCTACCAAAACCTTGCCACATAAACCCAATACAGGGGGAAGGTGCTTTAGTTTGCTTTTAGTTTCTCACTGTTCTAGCCCATAAGTTATAGCTTATAAATTATATTAAACTCCCTATGCTGAGTCTGTTTTGCCCATAACGATAACTGGTGAGTGATCCCTGTCCTTATCGCAACCTTTCAGCCCTTTCCATCATATTTTCTCCTTTTCCTTTGAGGAAGGGGAGTGAAAGAGTGGCTATGATGGATTTCAGCTGCTTATTAGGGTAAAACTACCACACACTCCTAGTTTTAATACAACTATCACAGACTGAGTACCCTCTAAAGTAGAAAATAAATTAAAAAGGGCTCTTCTTGAAACGTGAAATATGATAATTTCTGATTACATATGCCCCATAATCCCCAGTGGTAAGTCAAATTGAAACCTAGGTATATAATTTGTTTTGGAAGACTGATTTTTTGAGATCATTTATGGCTGAAGTGATTCATGATTGATCATGCCAGAAAAAAGTTTCAGGACTCCTTCTCTGAAGAGCAGTATTTTAATTTTAGAGCATTATGGAGTAGGATCCATGGCTCTTTTTTTTGGAAGAAGTGCCTCAGAAGAAATGTTGCACTTCTGTTAGCAGTTGATAACTATTCATTAGTTGTGAGGTGTAGAATCAAGACCAGCAATGGCACACTGAAGGTTTCTCTAGTAAAGATAATGATTGTAATGGACGAAAACTAGAGCAGTTGTTAGCTAGTCAGTGGTGAGACTGAGAGTGGAATTCAGGAGGTTAAAGCTGTCCTTTCTTAAGCTATGTCATTCTCTACTAGCTGGCAAGGTGTTACTGAAGGAGAGCACGAGGGGATTGCTAAGTAGTTGTTAGTCTACTCTATAGTATAAGCGTACTTTGAATTTGTGGGGCAGTGTTTAATTAAATGCATAAATAAAATGTTATGAATAATACAGTGCTTTTGTCTTTGTTAGATTGTATTGTATCATCTTATTTTGCCTTGATTTTGCTTTTCAGTAAAAGTAATTGATCAATACTTGTGTTACTTGCACAGTCCATTATGAAAACATGATGCACATTCTTGACATCTACCCAGACTACTAGTGCACCTTTTGTACCTCCTTTTTGATGCTTCTCCAGATTCTCCAACACACTTAAATTACCTTGATCTCCCTTTTCTATGAAAAAATGCATTCTTGTTGTCTTAGGAGGATTCATCTCTTTTGTTGTTTTCTCTCAATCCATGTCATTGTGTTGCTATGATTTATGCTCTTAGGGTTTTCTAGAGGTGTAATCTTCCCATTGTCTGAGTTTTCATTCCTTAACTCCATTATTTGTATTTAAAAACATGTTTGTTCCTTTTGGTTTTGTGACTGTGTTGTGTGAATGACATTCAGTCTTTAAACATTCAGACAGTACATAATATAAGTGGGTGATGGGGGTGTTCTCAATGATCACGAGCATGAAGTATACGGCATCTCAGTGGAAATATTTTTAGTCCTACAATTGCCTTATAAAAAATCTAGATAAAAGGGTGATGCTTGTATCTATTAAACAATTTATTGCATTTATTATTAAAATTTGAAAATGTTGTGAAATGTTAATCAAGTTGCTGTATGTCTTCATATAAACAGTGTATACAGCTGCATGACCAGCTATCTCAGCTCAGCTTTCCTTCCATGCAAATAGAAGTTTTTGCTTTTGTGACATTGCAAATTCTAACTTCTCTTTCTCCCTCATTCTGTTTTTCTGCAGGTGAGAAGTACCTCTTTATATACGGAGGCCGCTCTGCTGTGCAGCCAGTGCTAGGAGATTGGTATTTCCTGCACACTCCAGAAATTTCCTGCACTGTGGTAAGAACATAGGGAGGCCCTGGGGAATAGAAAGTGCTGTGCTATTGGAAGCTCAACTAAATCACAGTGGTATTACCGTATTTAAGCATATGGTAGACTGCATGATTCCAGACTGCATGGAGGAAATTCTGTTCACAGTTGTTTTAAGTAGCGGTCACTTCCAGCAGCTCTGGGCCTGGAAATTCCTCCTTACTGGCCACTGGAATCCTCTCCAGTGTTCCCAAAGACCTGGGATGTGTCTGTCCGAGGCTAATAGACGTGGCAGCTGTTTTCTTGTGTGCAGGTTCAACTGGTAGTGAGGCTGACTGTATATCCCAAAGACACATAGATATGTGCACACAGAGTGCACTGGCATGGCCAGCTACACTGACTGCTACAGATAAGATGATGCCTTCAACAGCACCCATGTATAACATTACCAGGACTCACATGAAATCCAGATTCAAGTGCCTTTAGTTCCCTCCCTTCTCTTTGGCTGATAAGGATTGGTAGTTCAGTAGTCAGAGCACACATGCCTCTGTTCTGTAGATTGACAGGCATGTGTGCATTTGCAGTTCCATCGAGTATCAGTACAGTATCTGCACATCTGAGATGCCTGCCCAGATCCTGAGCTCTCTTACCTGCTCTGTGAGTCTCTTGATTGCCAGCTAGTACAGCTTGAAATTTGCTAGCAAACATTTGTGCACACTTATATCTTACAGAATCACAGAATGGGTGGGGTTGGAAGGGACTTCCTGAAGATCATGTAGTCCAGCCCTCCTGCTGAGCAAGATCACCTAGAGCACATTGCACAGTGTAGCAGCCAGGCGGGTTTTGAATATTTCCAGAGAAGGAGACTCCACAACCTCTCTGGGCAGCCTGCTCCAATGCTCTGTCACCCTCACAGTAAAGAAGTGCCCCCTCACATTGAGTTGGAACCTCCTGTGCTTCAGTTTGTGCCCTTTGCCTCTTGTCTTGTCACTGGGCAGAACTGAAAAGAGACTCGCTCCATCCTCTCGATACCCTCCCCTCAGATATTTATACACATTGATGAAGTCTCCCCTCAGTCTTCTCTTTTCCAGGCTAAACAGGCCCAGTTCTTTCAGCCTGTCCTCATACAACAGGTGCTCCAGTCCTCTCATCATTTAAGTAGCTCTCCTCTGAACTCACTTGAGTAGTTCTGTGTCCCTCTGGTACTGGGGAGCCCAGAACTGGACACAACACTCCAGGTGTGGCCTCAACAGGGCTAAGTAGAGGGGCAGGATCACCTCCCTTGACTTGCTGGCAACACTCTTCGGAATGCACCCTAGGATACCGTTGGCCCTCTTGGCCACAAGGGCGCATTGCTGACTCATGGTCAGCACTCTGTCCACCAGGACTCCCAGGTCCCTCTCTGCAGCGCTGCTCTCCAGCAGGTCAGACCCCAGCCTGTACTCGTGCTTGGGGTTATTCCTCCCTAGGTGCAGAACCCTGCACTTGTCATTGTTGAACTTCATGACGTTCCTCTTGTCCCAACCTTCCAGCCTGTCGAGGTCCCTCTGAATGGCATCACAGCCCTCTGGGCTATCAGCCATTCCTCCAAGCTTTGTGTCATCAGCAAACTTGCTGAGGGTGCACTTACCTCACAAGCACTCTGCAGTCATTGATCTCTTGAATACCAGCATGTGTCTACTACCTCTGCCTAAGCCCCTAGACCTCCTGTTAGAGGTAGAAGGCTGGCTAGACCAGCTGGCTGGACCAGATGAAGGTTGTAAGGAGGACATGGAGAACTACAGGCCTGTCAGCCTGATCTTCGTACCAGGGAAGGTGATGGAACAGGTCATCTTGAATTCAATCACACAGCGTGTGTGGGACAGCCAGGGGATCAGGCCCAGTCAGCATGGGTTCCTGCAAGACAAGTCATGCCTGACCAACCTCATCTCCTTCTATGACCGGCTGACTCGCCTGTTGGATAAGGGAAAGGCTGTTGATGTAGTCTACCTAGACTTCAGCTAGCCCTTTGACACAGTCTCCCACAGTATTCTGGAGAAGCTGGCAGCCCATGGCTTGCTCGTTGCTGGGTTAAAAACTGGGCGGCTGGGTCCAGAGAGTAGTGGTGAACGGCATGAAATACAGCTGGCAACCGGTCACTGGAGTTTTTTCCCCAGGGGTCGGTGTTGGGGTCCATCCTCTTTAATATCTTTATTGATGATTTGGATGAGGGAATTGAGTGCACACTCTGTAAGTTTGCAGGTGGCACCAAGTTGGGGGGAAGTGTTGATCTACCAGAGGATAGGGAGGCCCTGCAGATGGACCTGGACAGGATGGGTCGATGGGCAGAGGCCAAGGGATGAGGTTCAACACGGCTCAGTGCCGGGTCCTGCACTTTGGCCAGACCCAGTACACAACCCCATGCAGCGCTACAGGCTTGGGGCAGAGTGGCTGGAAAGCTGTGCAGAGGAAAAGGATCTGGGGGTGCTGATTAATGCTCACCTGAACATGAGCCAGCAGTGTGCCCAGGTGGCCAAGAAGGCCAACGGCATCCTGTTTGTGTCAGGAGTAGTGCAGGCAGCAGGACCAGGGAGGTGATCATCCCCCGTGCTCTGCTCTGCTGAGGCCGCCCCTCGAGTGCTGGGTTCAGCTTTGGACCCCTCACTCCCAGAAGGACATCGAGGCCCTGGAGCATGGCCAGAGAAGGGCAGCAAAGCTGGCGAAGGGCCTGGAACACAAGTCCTATAGGGAGTGGTTGAGGGAACTGGGGGTGTTTGGTCTGGAGAAGGGAGCCTCAGGGCAGAGCTTATTGCTCTCTGCAACTGCCTGAAAGGAAGGGGTGGGGAGCTGGGGGTCGGCCTCTTCTCACAGGTAACTAGTGATAGGACCAGAGGGAATGGCCTCAAGTTGTGCCAAGGGAGGTTTAGGTTGGAAATGAGACATTTCTTCTTAGAAAGAGTAGTCAGGCATTGGAATGAGTTGCCGAGAGAGGTGGTGGCATCACCATCCCTGGGGATGTTCAAGGAGAGGTTGGATGTGGTGCTTAGGGACATGACTTAGTGGGTGACATTGGTGGTAGGGTGATGGTTGGACCACATTATCTTGAGGTCTTTTCCAAACTTAATAATTCTATGATTCTATAATCCATGTATTTGTAAACTTAAGGTTCACAGGTCTATCTTGAACAGAGAGCAGCGTGCAAGAAGGAAAACAAAGTTACTTCTAATACATGTGCAGAAATAAAACTCTATAAAGGCTGAACAATATTAAATAAAATCTAGAGAAATACCGAAGACAGTGTAAATTGGAACACTTCTATGTAGCCATCCTTAGAGGAAACCCCCATGTGTGCAGCTTGAGGAATTTTTTATTCTTCCCTATTTACTCAGGCATATAATGATAGATCAAGAGGGAATGGTTTTAAACTAAAAGAGAGTGGATTTAGGTTAGATGTTAGGAGAAAAATCTTTACTTGGGGTGATGGGGCAGTGGAACAAGTTACCCAGAGAAGTTGTGGATGCCCCATCCCTGGAGGTGTTCAAGGCCAGCATGGATGAGGCTTTGGACAATTTGATCTAGCAGGTAATATCCCTGCGCACATCAGGGGGATCAGAACTGGATGATCTTTAAGGTTTCTTCCAACCCAAGCCATTCTATGATTCTTTGATTCTCTGATTCTATGATTGTGCTTACTCAGTCTGTTCCCCTCCCCAGCTATACCTATCCTATGTCAGGAAGGAAAGGAATATTAAATCCCACAGGAGACAAAATGGGAAGAGAGGCAACCTTCAGGCTTGGACTTATGTTTTCTTAGATTCCTGTTGAGGGTCCAGTACCAGAAGGCCGTCACTCTCACAGTGCCTGTAGCTGGAAAGGAGGAGTGCTAATTGCAGGAGGTCTGGGAGCAGCTGAGCAGCCCTTAGGTTCAGTTTTCTTTCTGAGGGAGGCTGAGCACGGCTTTCAGTGGCAGACAGTAGAGACACACCCTCCTCTCATCCCAAGGTAAGTAGAAGGTGTTCAGCAGTGAATCTTTGGCCTGCCTCTAGCTGTCTCCCATTACTAATGGAGTTCAATCTAATTTTGAACTCACAGGTATTCACATACTGCTCACGTGCATGATGGAAAACTACTGCTTGTTGGTGGAGTGTGGCTTCACTCATTCTCTGTGCCAGGCATCACTGTCATTGACTTAATAACTGGTCTCTGCTTGGACTACACAATTAGTGTGGTAAGTACTGATTATTTTTTTCAGGGTAAACAGTGTTATGTGAAGGAAGGTGGTAACTTCAGGGCCTTTTCTTGAAATGGAATAGGGAAAGCAAAGGAGTCAAATTTGTGCATGGTAGAATTTAGATTCTACCTCTTTGTGGTAGAATCAAATTTTGAAGTGCTTTGACCAGCCTTGAGAACATAATAGCCTTAAGAGAGGGAGAGTCTGAGTGTGCAAAAGACAGAAGGGCACAGAGCTGCGCTATTTCAGACTGGGTGCAGAACTGAGATGTGCACAAATATAGCAATTTCAGGATGTCAGTGGATGATGAGAATAGATTAAACCAGAGCCTCAGTTAGTTTTTCTGAAGGTCTGTGGTATTATTTCACTTAAAACTTCACAGTGGAAATTGCTGTGTGCTGTAGCTGCTGCCTGAAGTACAAGAAGAAAACAACATGGAAGTACTGGAAACTCCAATTAAATATGAGACTACTTTTTGCTGTAAGGGTGATTGAACATTGGAACAGGTTCTTCTGAGTGTGGAGTCTCCATCCTTGGAGATAATGCAAAAACTGACTAGAAAAGGTCCTGAGCAACTTGCTCAACTTGAGCCTACTTTGAGCTGGGGTGGTTGTACTAGATGATGCCCAGAGTTCCCTTCCAACCTCAACTTTTCTGTGATTCTTTTTTGTAATTCACTGGAAAACAATCATAGAATCAGTCATCTTGGAAAAGACCTCAAAGATCATCTAGTCCAACCTTTAACCTAGTACTGACAAGTCCACCCCTAAACCATGCTACTAAGTTCTACATCCAGATGTTTCTTGAAGAGTGCTAGGGATGGTGACTCAACCACTTTCTTGGGCAGTCTATTCCAATCCCGTATAACCCTTTCAGTAAAGAAATGTCTTCTGCGCTGGTGCGGCCTCACCTCAAGTACTGTGTGCAGTTCTGGGCACCACAGTATAAAAAGGACATGAAACTGTTGGAGAGTGTCCAGAGGAGAGCTACGAAGATGGTGAAAGGCCTGGAGGGGAAGACGTAGGAGGAACGGCTGAGGGCACTGGGCCTGTTCAGCCTGGAGAAGAGGAGGCTGAGGGGAGACCTCATCGCAGTCTACAACTTCCTCGTAAGGGGGTGTCGAGAGGCAGGAGACCTTTTCTCCATTAACACCAGCGACAGGACCCGCGGGAACGGGGTTAAGCTGAGGCAGGGGAAATTTAGGCTTGACGTCAGGAGGGGGTTCTTCACAGAGAGGGTGGTTGCACACTGGAACAGGCTCCCCAGGGAAGTGGTCACTGCACCGAGCCTGTCTGAATTTAAGAAGAGATTGAACTGTGCACTTAGTCACATGGTCTGAACTTTTGGGTAGACCTGTGCGGTGTCAAGAGTTGGACTTGATGATCCTTAAGGGTCCCTTCCAACTCAGGATATTCTATGATTCTATGATTCTATGATAATATCCAACCTAAGTCTCCCCTGGCACAGTTTGAAGCTATTTCCCCTCATCTTACCACTTGGTGCATGGGAGAAGAGCCCAGTCCCAACCTTGCTACAACCTCCTTTAAGGTAAATATAAAGTACAATAAGGTCTCCCCTGAACCTTCTTTTATCCAAGCTAAACAACCCCAGCTCCCTCAGCTGTTACTCGTAAGCCTTAATCTCTCAAACATAAGACCTGATCTCATCTCAGTCATACAAGTGTGCTTGTTACACAGCAGGATTTTGGCATAGTCTGGGCAAAACTTGCCTAAATCTGAACCTGTCTATGTGAGTAGCCCTCATCTGTGTTAATACTGGTTGGAGAAAGCTCCTCTTGATTGAAAAGCTTTTATTTTTCTTTTACATAATATAACACATTTCCTGAGATACCTAGGATAGGATGCACATGTACAGATTAAACTGGAATTTGTAACAGATTTGTTTTTTATGATAGGCAGTGTGAGGACATCTGGCTGACATTGCAGCTTTTTCCATAGCAGTGATGATGGTACAATGGTAATGAAGTTTTATCCAAAATAATAGAGCAATATAAAAATATATATGATAAAATTTAATGTATATGACATCTCTCATATGATTCTGTAATGTATGTGACCATGGTAACTCTGTGCATGGCTACTTTAAGCACATAGAGAGTTACTAGCCAAGAACTTTTGGTGCTATCACCTTCTAACACATGTATAAAAGCAGTAATACTAATAGTATCCAGTGCTGCACAGAAAACCAATACTTCCAGTCTTTCAGAACTTAGGACCAATCCACATACACTACACAATACTGTCAATACTTGAGAACAGAACTGGTAGGTTCTAAAGCCTACAGATTTGCATCTAAATCAAGCCAAACAATTCATAAGCAAAAGCAGCTACCAACCCTTCTGCATCCATGTTATAGAATACTGCACAGCAGGCCAACTGCATCCTGTGCTGCATTAACAGAGCTGAAGCACCTCTCCTATGAATATAGGTTGAGAGAGCTGGGGCTGTTCAGCCTAAAGAAGAGAAGGCTCTGGGGGGTGACGTCATTGTGGCTTTTCAGTACTTAAAGGAGGCTTATCAAAAAGATGGAGAGCAACTCTTTGTTCAATCAGATATTGACAGGACAAGGGTGAATGATTTTAAACTAATAGAGGGGAGATTTAGATTAGAGGTTAGGAAGAAATTCTTCATTCAGAGGGTGGTGAGGCACTGGCACAGGTTGCCCAGAGAGGTTGTGGATGCCCCATCCCTGGAAGTGTTCAACACCGGGTTGGATTAGGCCCTGGGCAACCTGATCTAGTTGATGGCATCCTGCCTATGGCAGGGGGGTTGGAAATAGATGATCTTTGAGGTCCCTTCCAACCCGAGCCATTCTATGATTCTATGGTTCTATGAAAAGCCTTACTGACGTCCATGTAGGTAATATCCACTGATTTCCCCTCATTTACCAGGCCAGTCATTTCACTGTAGGAACTCATCAGCTTGGTCAAGCATGACTTCCCCTTGGCAAATCCATGCTGACTACTCCTGGTGATTTTCTTATCCAGTAATTCTAGAGGCCTGGAGAATACGAAGACATTCTCTCATTCAGAATCACTGAATTGCAAGTTGTTCAGTGAGTGGAGTATCTTAGAAGAGTACATTATGGTTTCCTTGCTTTTACATTCTTCTCTAGGTATCTTTTTTTGTCCATATTTGTAGTCGGTGTAGTTGACTAAATGGTCACCCATTGCGGTTGTCCTTATTTTTTTAATGAAGGTATCTATATGAAGTATCTCTGCAGCACTGTATGAGGTATACATCTGTTGAAGTCCTGTATGTTCAAAGATTACTTCCTAAGTCTGATCCAGATTGGTGGACACAATAATTGAAACAGAATTTACCAGGTGCCTAACTGGTGAACTTACTGCATTTCCCTTTGCTCCCTAGTATGGAAAAAAAAAAAAAGTCCCACCCTAAGATGTTGAATTTCTGAGTAATTAGAGAAGCTACTAGTTCTCATTCCCTTCCTGATTTTTGAGTACTTTGTCCAGACGTCCTACTGCTCTATGTCCAATTCCCCATCTTGACCTTTGTGTACCTCTCCAGAATGTGACTGGCTGGTGTCCCCCAGACTACACAGACTTCTGTTTCAGGCTAAGGACTTAAAATCTCTTTCTTTTCAGGAGCATTTGGAGTGGCCATTAATGCTGCATAATCATAGTAGTGTTTTTCTGCCAAATGAAAAGGAGTTGTTGCTTATTGGTGGTGGTGGGAACTGCTTCTCCTTTGGGACACACCTGAACCCAAAGCCCGTCTCATTGAGCCTCAGAAATATTTTGACCAGACACTAATTGGGACCAAACAGGACCGAACTGTGCCACTGCACCATGGTGAGACAGCTATTCGCTTGCAGATCCAAGAACAACAAAACGTTATCGCAGTTTTCTATCCAGAATGCATTTGTAAAGGTGGAATAGGGAGAAGGGTTTAGGAGATAAAGTTATGACAAGCATGCATACTTCATTGATTTTTTTTTTTTATTTATTCTTTGTTTTTCTGCAAATGAAATGTCCCAGGAGTAGCTCTGTGGTGGCAGTGGTAGCTCTTAGAGGTAAAATGAGGACCAGTGCTGTGTTCAAAAGGGACGTAAGTTTGCACAGTGCTGACTTGGAAGTAAAGTGAAGCCACTGAGTTAAAAAGTCATTGGAAATATGTAGCCAAGCATAATTAAACAAGTGAAACAGAATGTGTCATAGGTCACATTTGAACATTTCTAAAAGTCACACCAGAGAGATGAAGGAATTAATTATACCTCTGCCTCATCCTGTGCGACCAGAAGCCATTGAGTAACTGTAAGCTGGGATTCTCAGAAGACATACTAAGAGTCTTGGGTTCCTTCTCTGCTTGCTCCCCAAGGCCTTACGGATGAAAAATATTAGGCTTTATGTTTTCCCTTTGAAATACCAAAAGCAATATTGAGAAGCCTACTTCTGGTGTCTCTGTTGGTAATAGCTGCATACTTTTGCACTTATCCTCGTGACTTTTCCTTTCAAATACTGGAAATGCAGAGGCTGGTAAACAGTCATCTCTGCTATGGTGTGTTTTGTTTTTTACTTCCCCAAACCAAAAAATGTCTTAAGTCAGTAATAGTAAAATTTTTATGACTCTCAGTCGTCCGTGTCGTTGCAGTTGTGCCTCTGTTGTGTTTCTTGACCAACCCTCTTGATCATCCTTGTCCTGCTCCCTGGGTGGTTCTTCTGTCCCTTTGCCCCTGCTGTCTGTTTTCTCTCTCACTGTTTGTGTCCTGCTTGTGCCCTTTTCCTTCGTTTTTCTTCCTTCTCCTGTGCTTCGTTGCAGCCTGTGGCTGCAGGAGGCAATGGTTCCCCACTGGACGGATGCAGAGATGGACAGAGGGAGGGATGCTGTTTTATGCCTTCTTCCCTCCCAGTAGCCTGTGCACGAGTTAGTTTGCCTTCTGGCTTGCACTCCCATCTGTGTTTGTGGCCCTGTGTCCAGTGGCCATCGCCATGTCCGTGGGTTCAGTTTCCATAGCGGGGTGGGTGCGGAGGGGGCAGGGCCTTGGGGATTGACCCCATTTTCACCGGCTGTGCTCTCTCACTCCCCCTCCTTTAGATGAGGAGGGGGAGAAGTAAAGCAAAGAACAACTCACGGGTTGAGATAAGGATAATATAATTAAAAGGAAATAATAATAATAATTAAATAAAGATTATTATGAACTAAACAATTTAAGTAAGGGGAAATAAAATGGGAAAGGGGAAAAGGGAGGGGAAAAGGAAAAATAAAAAGAAGGGAGGAAGACAAACAAATAAAATAAATGAAGGCTATATAGAAGTGCAGAGGAAAGAAATTACTCTCTACTTCCCACAAATGAGCGATGATTGACCACATCCTTGAATCAAGGCCTCAACGCACGTAGCCAGTGTTCGAGGGGAGGACCGACGTCTTCTCAACGAGAGCCCACCCCTCCCCTCTTCTTCCTGTTTCCACCTTTTATTGCTGAGTGTGACATCACATGGTATGGAATATCCCTTTGATTGGTTTAGGTCAACTGCCCTAGTGATGTTTCTCTCACTTTTTGCCCACCCCCTAGGAGGGTTAGAGAAAGGCCCAATGCTGTGCCACTGCTGCTCAGCAGTAGACGCAACACTGGTGTGATAACACTGCTGTTCCAGCTACAAGTACAGAGTACGGCACTGTATGGGCTGCTGCCGGGAAAGTTAACATTCCAGCCAGACCCAGTACAGAGGGGTGTTGTCGACGGATGCAGACAGTCCCTCTGGGTGTGCAGGTCATCTTGCCAGGGAGCTGCAGGCATGGGGCCAGCGGGCAGGAGGGTAGTGGTACGCAGGAAGGGCAACGCTTAGGTCTGTGCTGTCTTTGTGCCGTGGGACAGGTGTCATGGGGGGGGCTGGTGTTCCCTGGCAAGGAAGAGGGGAGGGGAGAGTGCCAGGGAGGCTGGGACCCACGGGATTGGCAGCTGGGGCAGAGAAACAGCCGGAGGTGTTTAATTTCTGTCCAATTAAACTGTCTTTATCTGAACCCATGAGCTTCGACTATTTTTTCTTCCCAAGTCTCCCACGGTGCTATTTGCGCTACCTGCTCGCCAGGTTAAGCCAGAACAAGAACACAGATGGGAAAGAGTAGAATACGCACCTCCTCGTTTGGCTTTCAAAAGTAATGAACGGTTTGGGGTTGATTGGACAGGTTCTCCTGACTTAGGGAATTTGTCAGGACTACTGGTCTTCTCTGTCTAATGTTATTTTTTGTAATACCGCAAATCCTTGTTGAATTTGAAAAAGTTACAGAGAGATGGCATGTGACGTCTTAGTGTCTCTCTGGAAAGGGGTAATGCATTTGCGAAGAGGTGTGACTCTTTCTGTAATCTTTCATCAGAAACTTCCAGGTAAATGCATTCTTCAACCTTATGGCTACAGATGCCCTGCAGAGTTTTCTGCCATTCCCACAGCAGGGATAGCTGCAGAGGGTACCAAGTGGGAAGGACTTCCGAGTGACAGCTAATGTTGCCATTGAGAGCACTGTGGGATGGGAGCAGCTGGGGACAGGACGCAGGAGAACTTGATGAGAATGAGCTGCTCTGGAAGGTGGAGGCATGCAGTGACCTAAGAGGAGCAAAATCAGCAGGGGAAGATGGGGGGCGGGGGGGGAGATGTTGGGAGATGTTGGGAGCAGCAAACAGGAGTGACTTTTCCATTTCCTGCGAAGGGAGATGATGATTTGAAACCTGCCCGGAAGAAATGCTTGCTGTTTACAGTTCAGACTGTAAAGCTGCTTGTCTTCCTGAGAACAGCTGCATGCACATGGCATCACAGGCTGTGAAGGCTCAGGCAAGGATCTCTCTGTGCAAGAGAGATCTCTCCGATTATAAGGGGGACTAAGGGCCTCTCCATGCAGTCTCTGGGAAAGCCATCATCTACTAGAAGAAAGCCCTAGGGGGGACTTCTCAGAGGTAAGAAGCCTTCAACTTATGGGGACCCCTAACTCATGTGTCGAGCATGTGAGACAAACATCCATGGCACAAAGATCGTAGATGACTTCCCAGAGGTAAGCAGCTTTCCCTTTGTTCCCCTGTCCTCTCAGGAGCCCTCCTTACTCTCTTTGCACATGCTCGAGGCCCACAACACTCGTTTTCTCCTCTATTTAGCATTTCTAGTCCCTGCCTTACCTGCTCTCAACCCTCCCTCTTCCCAAAGAACCTGTGTGCTCTGCTCAGGTCCCTCCTGAGGTTCTGTAGGTCTTTTAAATACCACTATTTTTTCTCCTGTGCCCTTTGAGGGTATCTGTACCCTTTTCAGACCTTGATTTTTTTTTATTATTATTATTTATTTTTTGACCCAGCTGTGTAACCTTTTGTTTTCAGATAGCCTACTCAAGTACCTGATTTCTCCTGTGAGTCATGTTATTACATTGAATTGATTTTTTTTTGGTGTGTAATCTGTTACCCTCCTAGATTATCTCCTAGTTTATTGTCTTTTTGATATTAAAAGTTGAAGCAAAAGCATATGAATTATTGCTTCCAGTAACACTGCAAGCTGTTGATCTAAGGCAGATATTTAACACAGAGGCTGCTCCTCCTGCTCTCTCTCCCTTCCCGTGCTTTGCTCTTCCCCTTTTCCAGGCTATTGGGGCAGGGTGCTGGGTAGTGCCTAATGGCCTAATGGTATACGAGCCACAGGCATCCCATCAGAGAGCTCATCCTGCCCGAGCTGCTTTTTGGGGTAAGTGAGTTGATTTTCTTTCAGTCAGTTGCAGGTTTTTTTTTTTAGGTAGGTCAGAGTCTATAGGCTGATGCATTTCAATGTTGAGAGAGTTAAGCATATCTTTTTGAGGTAGCAACTAGCAGGATCATTTAGAGTAAAGCCATCTATACAGTAGGAGGTGCCTTTATTGCGTACCGCCCCAACAAAGGGGCAACCTCTGCCCTAAGTTGTGTAAACGCATAAAGCGGTGTGTGTTGTTGTTTTTCTGTTTAAGCTTGAACAGCAGTGCTGCTCTGGCAAGCCATGCCTGCTGCTCTGATTCCATGCACGTGCGTAGCTAACTGAGGAGCAAGAGCCGAGCAATGCTGTAGGGCTGGCACTGCATGCCCTGGCCGTGGCAACATAGCAGTGCCCTTCTCTGGAGCAGGAGCTGTGCCAGGCTCTGCTCAGGACGGGATGGCGAGGCACGGTGCCACACTGAGGTTGGTGGTCAGGGCTGCCCCATGATGATGTGCGGGGCAAGGCGGTCAGGTGGTCAGGGCGCTGCGGTCAGTGGCTTCTGGGGAAACAGCCGTTGTGCGAGGCTGGGGGTGCGCTGGAGCAGACCCTACCGGCGGGGGGGGGAGGAGAGTCTCTGCTGTGCTGGGCTTTGGGGGTCTGGGGATGAGGGGGGACGAGCATTGAGAGATGGCAGGGGGGATGTGGGAAGAGCTGCAAGAGGCGGTGGGAGTGTGTGTGTGTGTGGTGGAGTCCCCTCTTGGGTTGGATGGACTGATTTAAAGCATGTTCTTGCTGAGTGAGCTTTTTGCTCGTGTTACTGAGGAAAGAAATGGCTGTGCCACTTCACCCCTCACCCCTCTTTTTTTTTTTTTTCCCCATTCTCCCTCTAAATGAAAATTTAAAAAAATGCTAAATGAAAATTTTAAAAAATGCTAATGGTCAACAGTGACAGAATTGGGTGACATCTTCAAGGTAAAGGGTAAAGAATGTGGAAATTTCTAGTATGTTAATGTTACTCTGTTAACAAAAATGATGTACTGGCTGCTTAATATTTCTTTTTTTTTTGTTTTGTTTTCCTTTAAGTATTCTCCACAAAACCTTTTGTGGACATGTTGTGTATCTTTTTTCTCCTTCCACTATTCAGTTGTTACGAAAGATTACTATGAAATACAAGGGCTGTGGACAACCATCTACCATTGTTGCAGATGCACCCTTGCGTATTCTCTTGGTCGGGTGACAGCTGAGCCTCCAGATCCTTACAGAGGAGGAAACCAGGAGAGTGAGCAAGCGAGAAACGTCTGAATTGTGAAATCCTCTTGGCAGCGCCCAGAGTGGGAGCTGTGGTAAGCGCCAGGTCCCTGAGGCTGTCCCCCCCTGTTCTGCATCCCAGGCTGCCTTTGCTCCCCTTTGTATCTGCAACCCTTCTCTGTCCCCCATCTCCTCCTAGCCCGTCTGTCTCTTTGGCCTGCTTTTCAGTCCTCTTCCCTGTCCTGCTTGTTTGCCCTCTGTATGGCCCATCTGCACGTTTTACTGCATCCTGCTTACTGTCCCTTTTCCTCTGTGTTGCCGCCTTTCCTAGGTTCTTTCTTCTCTCTATCCTGCTCCCCTCCCCCACTTCCCCTTCCTCTCTCTGCTCATCCTAGGCTTTTCCTTCTCTGTCCATGTCGTTCTTTTCCCCACTCTGTCCTTCGTTCCATCTCTCAATTACACACCAACTGTCCCTTGTTAATGTTTCAGTACCCACATCTGCCCTGCTCTTTGCTCTTGTAGTCCTTCCGCTCCTTGTCCTGCCTGTCCGCATGTTTCTGTCCTATGGCCTCTGCCATCGTGCCATCAAGCCCTCTGTCCAGCTTGCTCACGTTTTTCTTTCTGTGCCTCTGTCGTTCTCCCCTTCCCTTGACGCTCTTTTGCCGTCTCAGCCCTGCTGCACACTGCTCTCTCTCATCTCTGTCCCATTCTGAGACCCCTCAGTCTCAGTGTTCGGGTGTTCGCGTCCCCTTGCCCACTCCCTCTAAGAACTTCTCAGTTCTTCATTTCTCAATCCTGTTGCCCCAGCAGTATTTGATTTTTCTCAATCTTTCTTTCCTGCTCCCTAGGTTCTTCACTGAGAGGGTTGTTGCGCACTGGAACAGGCTCCCCAGGGACATAGTCACAGCACAAAGCCTGTCAGAGTTCCAGAAGTGCTTGGACTGTGCTCTTAGTCATGTGGTCTGAATTTTTGGATAGACCTGTGTGGAGCCAGGAGTTTGACTCAATGATCCTTATGGATCCTTTCCAACTCAGGATATTCTATGGTTGTATGATTTTATTTCTCTCTCAATTTCTTTCTGTCACTTTTTTTTTCCCCACGTATGGGCGGAGAACCCTGCCACAGTCTCCCTCTGGGAGTCCTGTACACCAGTTAATAAAGAGTTTGCTTTCTGGCTTGCACTGCTGTCTGTGTTTGTGGCTGTGGGTAAGTGGCCATCCCTGTGTCAGTGGGTGCAGGTTCCATAATGGGGTGGGTGGGAGAAAGGTGCACAGGCTGGTCCGCAGTTCCTGGAGCAGGGCCCCAGGTGAGGCTGCGGGGGCTGATAGATGTGGACTGCTCCTTGGCATGTGGGGGTCATCTTGCTGGGGGGCTGCAGGCTGTTGGGCCAGGGGAGTGGGGGAGGAAGCAAAGGCAGCAGTGGAGTAGCCGTGTGATGTCTTTGCTCCCAGGGGTGGGTGTGCTAGGTAGGGCCGGTCTGCATGGAGAGAGTGGTTAGCAAGCGTGGCCAGCGCTCCTTCTGCTTGCAGAGGAGCAGGGGAGAGGTGAGGGTGTGGAGGAGAGTGGGACAGGGAAAGCCTCTGTGAGGTGGGGGAGCAGGGCTGACGACGGGGGTGGCTCCGGGGCGTCCGCAGGGTCAGGTGGCTGTGAGCACCGTGCCGCGCAGCATGCTGGTAGTTGTGGTCTTGTCAGCCACATTGGTTTCCAGGGCACGCCGGGAAATGTAGTTTTCAAGCCACTCAGCTTTCAAGTCCGACGTGGCACGTGCACAGTTCGGAAGGGCAGTTCCTTCCGCGTTAGCAGAGCGGAGTGTCTTTTCTTTCTGTTTTCGTGCGGTGTTCCGCGCAGTTCACGCTGCTTCCTTTAACGAGCAAACTGTCTCAAAAGCCATTGCTGCAGTTCTGATTCCGCGCATGAGCAGAGCAGGCTGGCTCGGAACGGGCGCCGCGGAGCTCTGTGGTGCCACCCGCTGGCGAAGAACCGGTACAGCAGGAGCAGAGGCTGGGCACATGCGCAGTAGCGGTGGCCAGCCTTCGTGCCCAGCAGCATGCCGGGAGTTGTTGTCTTTGGGCTTTGGGCTTCTGGTCGGCCATGCTGATTCATGGGGCATGCCGGGAAATGTAGTTTAGCATTACTGCTCGGCTTCCAAGCCAGGAGTGGCATGTTGCTCTGGGCCGTTATTTCCTCCCCTAGACAGTGTGGCGTGCATTTTTTCTGCTGTTTTTGAGAGGGTACTGCAGGCTGAGCGGTGCCGTGCATGCACGTTCTTTTTTCCTTTGAGTGATGTTACTACATTGCTTTTTTATTTTTTTGGCGTGTAATGTGTTATGCTCCTAGATTTTTCTTCCTGTGTGAAAGAAAGGTTTGAGCTAATTCCAGTTGAAAAAGTTTCATTTACTTGCTTGGTTATAGTGTCCTTTCAATATTAAAAGCTGAAACAAAAGCATGGGGATTGTTGCTTCTAGAAACACCCCAGTTCTCTTGTCTGCACTCTGCAAGCTGTTCAGCTAGGCTAGAAAAAGAAGAAAAGAAAAAAAAAAAAGGAAGAAAAAAAAAAAACAGCTGCTGATCCTGCTGCTCTTTCTACTTTCTTATGCTTTGTCTCTCCCCTTTCCCAGGTGACTGGGTTTGGGTGCTGGGTGGAACCTAATGGTATATGAGCCCCAGGTATGGCATCAGAGAGCTCATTCTGCCTGGGCTGCTTCTTGGGGTAAGTGCTTTGTTTTTCCTTCAGTTGTGGAGGAATGGTTAAGTGAAGTAGGACATGTGGATGTTGAGCAGTTAGGAGGCAATGGGCTAGTGAAGTACCGTACTTAACTCATATGAGCCTGGGCACGCACGCAGCTGGCTGAGAGCCAATCAGGCTCAAGGACACGATGACCTTGTGTGATAGGGAGAGTCCCTAAGGCGGGACGGTAGCTAAAAGAAGGAGGAACTAACTGAAAAGCCCGGGAAGTGTTAGCCAATCCTGAGTTTAGCTTCTGCAATATGTATGAGTTGATTATGTTCGAACTAGATAAAAGGCGACTGAGCTATCCATTAAAGTTGAAGTTCACTGTTCACTCATATTGAGCGTCTGTGTCTTCCTTCCATCGACAACATTCAGTTACTTGCAAGGTTCTTTAGGTGGGTCAGAGTCTATGGACTGATGCGTTTCCAAGTAGAGACTGGTATGCGCATCTTTTTGAGGTAACAACTATTGCGATTCAGTAAATTAAAGCAATCTATATAGTAGTAGGTGCCTGTATTGCATAAAACTCTTCTTCAGGTAAGTAATTGTTATAGCATATTTAGGATGACGATGTTACTTTGTGTGTTTGCTTTATGGTTCTGGGTCCCTTATAATTTTTGCAGAATTACTGGGCTTTCTGTGAGTCTTTGTTGTTTGTCAAATATTATCAAAGTTACAACCTTGGTGGCAAAGTAATGGAGCAGGGTTTAGGAGAAATGTATCATCGAATTCTCTGTGTTAGCATGTATCTGAAAATGGCAGCAGTGGGCATGTAAGGGTTAGTATGTTTCACCTTCAGGGACAGTTTGTTATATTTCTGGAGCTTTTGCCTGTGGTTTTGTTGTCTGTTGAGTCTTCAGACCTTGCAGCCTTCTAGGCCTTATGTCCTTGAATTGACATCTTAGAGGTATGTTTAGGAGGGGTGGCCAGGTACCTTGTTTTTGGGAAACCATGGGGTATGGTTCCTTGACAGCAGTACTGCCAAGAGACTGAGCAGGGTCACCTTCTTCATCTTTTAAGGATAAGTCTGGGCACATTTTAGCACGCTGCTGCCCGGGCACATTTCTCAGGTAGAGCTAATGAGCTGCTGAGGTAAAGGAGCTGGGAACAGAGAGGTATTGCACAATGGTATGTTGCATCAGTAGTAGTCAACGTTACGGTGGAGGTGGGTATCAGGGCTGGCGAGCAAGTGAATGCTGGTTCTCTGATTTTGTAGGTGATGATGAAAAGTTTGAGTTAATTCCAGTTGAAAAAAATTCAGTTACTTGCTTGGTCATATTGTCCTTCCAATATTCAAAGCTGCAGCAAAAGCATGGGGATTGTTGCTTCTAGAAACACCCCAGGTCTCTTGTCTGCTCTCTGCATGCTGTTGAGCTAAAGCAAATATTAAAAAAAATAAAATAACAAAAACAAACCACCACAGCTGCTGCTGCTCCTCTTCTTTTTACTTTCTTGTGCTTTGCCCCTCCCCTTTCCCAGGTGATTTGGCTTGGGTGCTGGGTGAGACCAAAGGTATGCTATATGAGCCCCAGGTATGCTATCAGAGCTCCTTCTGCCTGGGCTGATCTTTGGGGTAAGTGCTTTGTTTTTCCTTCAGTCAGTTGCAGGGTTCTTTAGGCAGGTTGGAGTCTATGGATTTCTAGATTTCTAAGTGCTTGGAATTCACTTAATAGAAGGATATTTAGCACAGGTTGCTAAAGAGGTTCTTTAGGTGGGTGAGAGTCTATGGACTGATGTGTTTCCAAGTAGAGACCGGTAATTCCATCTTTTTGAGGTGGTAACTAATAGGATCTGTCATAGTAAAGCAATCTAGTAGTAGGTGCCTATATTGCATGCAGCTCTTCTTCAGGTGAGTAATTGTTATAGCATGTTTATGGATAGGATGATGATGTTTGTGTGTTTACTTTGTGGTTCCAGGTCCCTTATGATTTTTGCAGAATTATAGGGCATATGCTATGTAGTATGCTATCCAGTACATTGCATATCCAGTACATTCTAATCAGGGCACACACTTTACTTCTAAAATAATAAAATTATTATGTCAATCATTAGGTATTCAGTGAGAATACCATATTCTGTGGCACCCACAAAGCTCAGGGAAAGTAGAAAGAATGAATC